TGTTTGAGAGGCTGCAACAAGGCCTTTAGGGTAATGACAGGGTTGTCTGGTATTCACATGTCATGTATGCAGTTCCAGGGTTTGGTGTGCTGACAAGCGCTCACAGGTAAGCCCCCTCTAAGGGTAGTACGCCGAGTTCCCTATTAATTGAACACCTCATGACAGATATCCAGACAGTTGCCAAGGTAAGTGCAGCTGATATCGTCGCATTTCGGCAGGACGGTTTCAGGAGGCTTGGAATGAGCCCACCCCTGGCTGCCTTTTCTGCCGGTAGTTGCCGGTTCAGGTGCAAAACAACCAATGATAAAACATAGTTGTGAATGGGCTCTCCACGCCCCTCGACACTAAACTGCGACTGCCGTGGGGAAGGCAAAGCGAGCGTTTCATGGCTGACACATTGAAGAAAGTTCCTGGGACAGGTTAAGTGCTTCCCGAGCCCAATTCACGTCCACCATATGGGCGGAGTCAGATCTGCCACAGCTTTTTCACTGTCCCGCCTGGGCGGAGTCAGGTTTATCACTGCATCTGCTCATTGGTGTTTTCCTCCATCGTACCTTTTGAAATAGAGATTGCGCACAAATGAGAAAGGAGCAGGAAAAGAACCGACTCCGCCCATATCACCTGCATGGACTGTCAGCTAATGAAGAGTTTATGGGCGTCATTAATTAGAGTCACTCAATGCGAAACGCGACCTCCAATATAAATAAGGTAGGAAAAAGTTACATACCTTAAATCGGTCTATACATGTCATAAGGGTGTGTACACAAAAGTTGGATACGGTAACTACTGTAGCTCCCGCCAACAATGAGATGAATATCGCTTCAAGTCCGAGTTGACGATGAAACGGCATCATGGCTACTGTATATTCGCCACGTTCGGGATGTATGTAGGAGTTGGAGCTAAAAAAGAGTGAAATCGATGTGATCTGCATATGTTGAGGGAGTTGGACCACATATCTCAGAGATGGAGAGGGCGTGTCTGCGTACTTTTTTGGAACATGGCGTAGGATGCATTTTTCGTGGAATTTTCCCACACCACATTCTGTCTTGAACAAGATAAATGAATGACTATAAACGTCCCAAAACGGCAATACGCCATCAAAAAATGAAGTACTCAGCCACACCCCATCCTTCCGCGGGAAATGGACTGTAGATCAGGACATACTTGAAAGAGATCACAGTCTTGGCGTTCATTACGTAATGTGTGGTGAGAATTCCTTCGCGTTTGCCGTGAATACCACTCGAAAACGGCAAATAGACGATGTCGTGACGCGGTTGAATTCGTGGAAGGATGACGTCATCGCTCACTAGAAGCATAACACGTCATTGAATATGATAAACTTTATCATTACTAATTACCACTGGAGTCACCAATTCAAGTATCGGATAACCATCGGCTAGTTCTCGTGGGCCAGTGCACAGGATCTGAAAATAATTAAAACTAAAATTTTACAAACTAGTGGAACGCCATGAACTGATATAGTTTATACTCAGTGGGGTTGCAGCCTGGCTGTCTGGCAGCTGACGCTAGCGGCAATAAAAATAAGGGGCGAAAAATTTGCACAAGCGCTATGTGATGGAGCGAAAACGTGCATTCCGCACTGATCGAATGGGCGGAGCTAGACCAGCATCATGGTGCGTGGTTCTTTTTGTACAGTCCTCATCATTGCAGACCGGTGGGGCGGGTGAGCCGCGCTGCGTGTGACTCGGCTGTGACGCGGCAGCGATGACAGTCGCGTCACACGCGGCGCGCTGCACCGCCCGCCACCGTTCTGCAAATGATGAGGCAGCATTACGCCCATCACTGAGTATAGTTAGGAGGGAAAATGCGCCAATGAGTAGGGCACAATGGGTGCGAGTCTCCGCTCATTCGATTATCGCCAATCTGTTTTTTTTTCTGTTCTGGGACGCTGCGACTGCTCATCGAATACATAGGCGTAAGGCAGCAGTGGCAGGTAAGTCCAGGCGGATTGGCAGGCGAGCCCATCATAGGCGATCCCCCGCTCCTCTAAGGCTGTGTTAGCGGCGTACTGTGAAGAACAAAAAAAAACAATAAGGGGCTGTGTCGCGTTTGCGGACGATGAGAGGGGGTAGGTTTTTTGGCGGCGTCCAGGCGCCCTTTCTCCACTTCTTTTTTTTTTTCTTATTCGGCCAGCCGACAGGAGTTGTATCTCAGCTTTTGTACATCATGTTTTCAGCAGTTGCTGGTCGCTTATGACCGCTTCCAGTATCTGTGGAGTAACGAGCTGTGGCGAGGTTTGCCAAGAATGAGTTTGCAGTGACATGCCCCTCATTCCGCATCAGAACTAAGACTGCAAGTTTATGGGCAAAAGTCAGCGATCCCTAACGCGAGATTTAGAACAAAATAGCCCTGCTTTCCAGGTGAGTTTACGCCACCATTTGGCGTCAATTCACAAACTCTCGCAGAAATAACACTTCGCATCCTAGCCTTTACAGCCACTAGCCCGTTAACGTGAATGAGCAAGACTACGCGGCACTAACGCTTCGCAGTCTTCAAGCACTAGGCGGCCTGGTGGCGTGACGAATAGCGCCCTCGCCCGGAAAGCGTAAGGTACGTGTTCGAATCCGCCTGTGGTCACATAGCTCAGCATTCCTCTGAGAACTTAGGAAGCGCTAGTTGCGAACTAAAATAGCAGTTTTCAACAAAAAAAAAAACGACGAGCCAGCAGCTTTGAGAGGCCACTTTTTGAAAAGGACTCACTCGATGAGGCTTGTTGAGAGCTCGGAACACTTTTTGAATCTCTGGAATAGCGATCGGATCCGCGAATGCTACTCGACAGTCAGATTCCACAAGTTGGAAATGCATCTCATCTGCAACTAGTAGTAATTTTGATGAGACGTATAGAACGTGTTCTATATGGTCTATGTGATCTATTATTACTATTTGTGCAGGCCAAAACATTTTTGCGACCTCGAGTTGCTGAAAACTCCTCCGCGGGGAGGGGGAGGTTTACCCCGACTATTATGTCAATATAGCCGTCGAAAGCGTGCATGGCGTCCTAACAGCAGGTACCAGCGCCCTGCATGCGTCACTCAAGGAACCATAGGGTACTTTTTATGGTTCTTACTAATGTTGTTTATAAACGGTAAGTACTGCAACAGTGCTGAAGCAACTGTTACACTGCTACCTCATGGTCTTAACGCAGATAAACAAACCGCGTTCAAATAAACCTAAATCCGTTATAGTTGATATCTTCTAAATCAGACAGGGCGGTGCCAGAAAGAGCGGATGATCCGCCCTCTTGACTCCCTACCAACGTTTATTGATTTTTGTGATTGATTGCCGCGAGGAAAGACCCCCTGACTGATTGCAACGATATGAATTATTTTATCGGTCGGATACAGTCGTGATCCCTTCAAGGTAGGGTGCGTGAGGCGGCGTAGACGAAGCGCAACCGGAGCGGCCTTTTCAACCATGATGCCATCGCTTAAGCCGCTGGGGCGTTAAGTGTTAAAATATGACCGACTAAGCACGCCCCGTCACAACGCCTTTTCGTTTGCAGGGATCATGACTGGATGTTGACCCTTCTGACAACTGCATAGGTTTGAGATGCACTTTCATTACTTGAAAGCCTGATAATCGACCTGTATCGATCGCATTGTTTCCGCGAACTGTACGAACTGTATAAGCGACTTTCTGAAAGGAATAACAACCCTGCTTTGCCTTTAATCTATCAATTATTACTTTTTTCATCAACCGCTGATATCCCACGCTCTATATCTTTTGCTAGGACCAACGTCTCGCTGTTGCTGCAGTCCCTTCCGTGCAGGGCACATCATTGGTTGGGGATTTTAGTCGAGTCTGTAAGGACACCACCCCCTTTTTTTGGGAGTTGATTACGACCCCTCCAGCCCTCTGTGCGCTTCCTCAGCCGAACTGGAGTTGTCAAGCGGATAGGGGAAGGGGGGAGGGGGAAGTAATGAAAGTAATGAAAGTGCATCTCAAAGTCCCGAAATCACCAAAAGTCAACCACCTCTCCCTACAACGCCAAAACGTAAATACGACCCCCCCTCCCAAAAATGACCAAGTACGACCCCCCCCTTTACAACGTCCATGAAGCGAGAAAAATCAACTATCCTCCCAAATACGACTCCCCTCTGCCTGGCGGCCATAAGCGGCGCCCCTCCTTATTGAGGATTCTCCAACAACGAGTGGTGCCTGCTCGCGTGACAGGACGACTTTTGTAATCTCGGTAGTGCGAGTTTTTTCAACAAAATTCGAGCCCTTATCAGTTTTTCCCTGTTCAGTATCAGATGTTCCTCTTCCATGCACCATATATCAAATCTTGGAATGGGTGCAGTGGCCCGTCCTATGAGTAGCTCTCCCTCCCTTTCTAGCTACGATGGTGTGAGTGTTTAGACGGAAGAAAGACAGAAAGCTATGTACAGGAGAGCAGAGTCGACAAGAAGTGCGCAATGGTACTTGGCTGACTGCATAGACACGACCCCTGCAAACGATAGGGCGTGTGAGCCTGCGTAAGTCGTACCGTTATCTAGTTGGCAGTTCGCAGAGTCCAATTAAGAATCATGCATTGATGCAAAGACCAACCTTGGAAACACTGCAACCCACACCCCGTCACAAGCCTATCCTTTAAAATAATCGCGACGTACACTGTAGCCAGTTGGTGTTTACGCTCCTCCTAAAGAAGATATTGACAAACCACCAAACGGCCTTCTTGTTTTTTACTATCAGCGATCTTGAGGGGCATTTGAGGGGGCTGGTTCTTATCGTGCATTCCCAACACCTACTGTGAAGTGGGTAGACTTCAGTAAAGCTATGCAGTAGGAGGATCTTCGCTTATACTCCACGAGAGATTAGGCTGCGTTTATACTTTGCGGCAGCGTAGCGTAGCGTAGCGCTTCCAGCGTACGCCAGCGGCAGTGCCGGGGAGAGGATGCATATCGATCTAGCGTTCCCAGCGTCACCAGCGTCACGCTAGCGTACGCTAGCGTTACGCCAGCGTTTCTCCAGCGTTTCACCAGCGTTTTGCTAGCGTTTGCAGCGGCAGGGGAGTAGAGACTATGTGGCCGTCAGAGACGCGGAATCGATGTGTATTGTAGAGACTGAGGGCGAGTGAGAGACGCGCAATCGATGTGTTTTGTACCCTCCAGCTCTCCCATAGTCTCTACTCCCCTGCCGCTGCAAACGCTAGCAAAACGCTGGTGAAACGCTGGAGAAACGCTGGCGTAACGCTAGCGTACGCTAGCGTGACGCTGGGAACGCTAGATCGATATGCATCCTCTCCCCAGCACTGCCGCTGGCGTACGCTGGAAGCGCTACGCTACGCTGCCGCAAAGTATAAAGCAGCCTTGACTCCTCATCTTGTGAAGATACGCGAACTGGTAAAAGAAACGAGCAAATCAGCAAAATCTTCCCGCTGAGCCGAACCGCGCCCAATTCTTGCACGTAATGATTAACATTACCTGCGTATAACTTTGGCGATAAGGTACAAGCTACGGCTCCGGCTAATGACACTGCCAGAAAGAGGTAGACCGCTTGAGGTGAATTGTCCATGCATAGCATTACTACCTGAAACTTGCGTGATTACTATTCAGTCAGTGATTTTCGGAACACTCATTACCTCTCCGCGCTCAACTCCCATCGACACCAGGGCTTTTCCCGATGAACTTTGCTCTGGTAGCCAAATCGGCAAACGTAAATTGCTCCTTTGTGTCATAATTGATCTAGAAAGTCCATTTGAATAATTTGCCTGGGAAAAACCCTCAATATACCTCCTGAGAAGCTAAAACTGTCGAAGGTTGTAGATCTCCGTTGAGTTTGGAAATGTGTTGAACACGAACCGTCCTGCCGTTGAGGAAGACTTTGATAGACACGAACTACCCCCGACCCCTCTCCTCGACTTATTAATGCGATCCCCATCCAGCCGACAGTCTAGATACTCCCAAATCCTACTATCCTAACTGAATCCTCGTCATGTTCGCTCCCACTTTTATCGCGAAAAACTTCAAAAGTTTGGCTGCACTCCTCCGCTGCCCCCCGAAAAAAAAATACCGTTGTTGGTTGTGGGAATATGGACATGGAGACGCGTGAAATGGAAAAACTGGAAAAACTAAGGAAAGAAGTTAGCAACCGAAAAGTTTTTCTTGAAAGATAGTACCCCTCCCCCTCTCTCCCATCGACCAAATACGACCCCCCTAGCTGGGAATCACCAGCGCACAATGTGCCCTTATGATGTAGCGCCCATTGTAGTGTTTCAGATTAAGGGTTATTTCAAAAACCAGTGTGTAGAAAACCTCAGTCTCAAGACCTTTCTGAATTCAGGGCGCTATCTAATGGCCTTCGCTTTGAGCAAGAGTCTGATAGTGACGTACTCCGACTGATTACTGCCTCTCCATTTTTTGAGCGTTGTGGGACGTTGTGGAGGTTTTTTGCTGAATACTACCCCCCCCCCTCTTTCCAAGTTGTCCTTCTGGCACCATCTATTCCCACCACGAAACAACACCTCACCAAACATTCCAGAGTATATGCCATTGTGCCGGCGTGCGAGTGGTAGACCTCCGATCAACTGTCAGAAGTAGCAGTTTTGTGGCGAGGGTTACTAGGGCGTGGGTTACTTGAGGTTCACACTCCATTTCCCAAAGATGGAGTGGGCGTGGCTGCGTACCTCGCATGAATATGGCGTTTGCCGTGAGATATTCCCCTCAGGCAACCTATCTCCTGTCATTTTATCTTACGCTCCACAATATGATCACAACTGCCCAAAAAAGCGCTATAAGCGCTATCCTCGCCACATTTGAATAAAGTACGCAGTCACACACCATATTATAGGTAGGTACTCGATGTATGTCGTGAAACGGGAAGAACACAATAATCAAACGAAATTTATCCCAGGCGAAATACGACCCCTTCCCAAACGGGCGAATACGACCCTGATTGGGGATCCCCAACCTAAAAGGTAGCCCTGGTTCAAGCAGGTCTCTACCTATGAGAGTAGCAGACGATCGCAAAGTGCAGCGACTGCCATAAAAAAGTCAACAGGCCAGAATACGCTTGCGTTTGCTCTCCCTCACAATTGTCCCTAATGGTTACTACTACTACTAGAAGATTGCAAGTAACGCAAACAGGCGCCCAAAACTTTATTGCCCATGAACTAAACAATTTATTGCCCATGAGCTAAACAATTTTCTTGGCAATGAATACCTTGGGAGTCTGTCTGTGCCATTGACAGCACTCAGATAATCGTGGGGCTCCGGGGCAGTAAAATATTGGGGTTATCAGAAGAACTGCACAAGCTCGTTGCCAAATGTTGCTCTTAGAAAATAGATCTCACAAGGGA